ACACCTAGATCTATTTATCAAACTCAAATGCCCAATATTATTCTTTATTTCCTAAAAACAAAAACTAAAGCTATTATGTTAAAAGTCTATTGAGTTTAAAATATTATAATTCAAAAACTTGTTCTTTTATAAAAAATTAACTATATTGTAATTTTGTTCAAATAAAATAGTTACTACTAACTTTTTTACAATTACAAATCGTAGAGGTTTATTTTAGCAAGTTTTTTTTTTTACTATTGTTACTATTGTTATAAGCTAAGTTTATACTATTTTTTAATTAGTTAAAAATATTTTTTAATCAGAAAAGTTAAACCTAGAGGTAACAGTCTGGCAAAGTTTCACTGAAAGTTTTATACAACTGCTTTGTTGTTAATAATACTGATTATGTAAAATTTATTAATTTGATTAGATGTTCATGAATTTGGGCTACTATGTATATTGGCTAATATATTTAAAAAATATGACAATAGCTATTAAATTAAAAGAAATACTATTTGCTAATATATACAGTATCCAGGATTTTATTCAAAAGTAATATTTTTAAATTGAATAGTACTTATAGATACTGTGTGAGAAACTAAATATTATATTAGTACTATATATTATATAAATTCATATAGTTATATTTAGAGATGAGGAAGAGTTAATTTTATATATTTAGAATTAATTTTATAAGCAATCTACAATTCTACAATGCAGTAGAATTGAAAATTAGTAATCATTGTTACAGATTAAAATGAAATCTGATCAAAATGAAACTGAGAATCTCTTATATCCACCTTTAGAATCTATAAAATCCACATATACTTATTTATTAATAAACCTAACCCTAAACTCTACCTCTAATGCTAAAAAAAAACCCCAAAAAATGTCTTCAAAAAATTTTTAAATTTTCTTTAAAAAACAAAAAAATTTCATTTTGATCAAATTTCATTTTAATCTGTAACAATCACTAATAGATTTAGTAATTCTATAATTCTACATATATAATATCATAGAATTGATGTAATTTCTACAATTTCACAATGTAAAATTGCAGAATTAATGATCATTAATAATTTTAGTAGCTCTACAATTCTACAATTCTACAAATGTAAAATTGTATCCATAATTCTATAACGATAAGTGTAGAATTGTAGAATTACTAAAATTATTAATGATCATCAATTCTGCAATTCTACATTCTCAATTCTTAAAATTGTAGATCGTTTGTAGAATTAATTCTACACGTGTGAATTAACTCTCCTGCACCTCTAGTTATACCTCCGAGTACTATTCAAGAATTAAGCCAGGTGGGTGTGAGTAAAATCCGGGTCTTAATCAAGGGGGTATTATTTTTGGGAGGTACTGTATGCAGTGACGAGCGGTAATACATATTTTTTACGTATCGCACTAATTAATTGATCTGCGAGTACGCCAATGTGCGTTATTTCGAAAAATTATATTGTAAAAAATAAAAAGTACCCCAGAATCGGGTTTGATACTAAGTACACCTACTGTACTTTATTGTGATACAAAAGTTGTTCTTTCATACTGAGACGATTCTAATTATGGCAAAATTATCAAAAATGGTCCAGTTTACTTAATATCAAATCCAGTTCCGGCGCACTTTTTATTTTTTATTTTTTTATAGAGGGATGCACGTTAATTTGGGATGCGCATGGGCGTTAAGTCGAGACGCACATAGAAATTGCAGCAGAGGTCTTTTTCGACTTTTAAACAACTGCCTTGCTTGTTTAGTTCATCGAAAGTGCATCAATTGTATAATAGGAAAAAGCTCTCCTTATGCAGACCGGGTATACTCGATGCACTTTCGATGCACTAAACAAGTAAGGTCAGCTGTTTACAAATCGAAAAAGACCTCTGCTGGAAATTGCATATGCAATTTTTAAAGGTCCTGATTTTCAAAATAACGCCCACGGGCGTTATTTCGGATTTATACGGTATTCTTAAATTATTTATAAGCATTGAGAAATCAGAAACTTTTTCTCAACGAAGAAAATGGTTAGGATGAATTTTAGTATAGCAGTCAGCCGACATGTCGTATACAATTGCATACTTATTGGTAAAATTAATAGACGTACCTAAATTTTATAAGTAAATTTATAAAAAAAAAAATCAAATTAAAATTTTAGATACGTACTTATTGAGTTTCTGAAGATCCTTTATACAAAGTTTGAGTAATAGTTAATAATAAAGTTAAAAATAATTTTGATCCTAAAGTTGAACGTCTTTTATTATGTTCTTTAAGTCAAAAGATTGACTCACCATCAAAAATTACGTATAATAAAATATGTTTCTTAAGTTAAAAGACCGACTCATCATCAAACTTATGATAAAATATTTGCAATATTTTACAGTGGATCAGTCTTTTGACTTAAGGAATATAGTAAGAGACATTCAACTTTAGGATCAAGATTATTAACTATTACTCAAATTTCGTACAAAGAATCTTCAGAAACTCAAGAGTAAGTATCTAAATTTTTAAAATTTAGGTACGTCTATTAATTTGACCAATAAGTGTGCAAATCTAATATATAAACTCTCCGACATGTCGACTGACTGATAGGTGGCAATATAATTATTATATAAATAATTGTTTCAACAATTAGTCTACTAATTAGTCTTCCATAGTCGGCGAATTAATAGCGAATTCCTCATATTAAAATATAAATTACATAGCAATGGCAAAACTTTTGGTGAAATTACTTTTTCAAAATAATTTAAACACTATATATATGTCTTTCTTGAATTTTTGTTATTTAAAACGCTTTTAACTCATTATTATTATTTTTTTTAATTGGGCTCAAAGTTTTTTCAATCGCATTTAACCATTGGATGAACTTTAGTAAAAGTAGGAAAATATAATTATATATAAAAATTAGCTAACTAAACTATACCTAAATATTTTAAAATTTAGTTATTAATCTACTATATATATATATTTATAAATGATTTAATTAGTTTAAATTATCTAATTTATATATATGTATTAAATAATTTAAACATCCATGTATAGGAATGGACGTGACTCGAATGCTTGCTATTGGTGAATGTCTTTTTCGAATTTGAATTAAAATTTTCATTATGAAATTTAATTGATGCAGCGCTAGTAAAAAAGGGTTAAGTGCTAAGAAAAGGGACGAAATTGACAATTTTTTTAAAAAAAACTTTTTTTTTGAGCTTAATTAATCTAAAATTAAACTAGAAATATTTTCCCTTAATATAAAATTTATAAAATTTATAATATAAAAAAAAATAACTAAATTTCACTGGAGGTAAAATCACCACCCGTATGTTTTTAGGGTTAGGGTATAATTTTAAGCTAAGACTAGAGTCAGATATAAAGATCCAAATTTTGGTTAGCATAATATTTTTGAGGGTTCGAAACATTTTGGATCAAGTCTAATATAGGTGATCCCTCCGGCAAGATTTCCGGTTTGGCCGAAATTAATTTAAATTCAGATTTATTTGTGAGATCACATGATTGTGTAATTTCGGCCAAAATCATGTACCGAAATGCGTTTTAGGAACTTTTGCCGGAAGGGTCACCATCCAACATTTTTACTTAGTATCCTCGATGTGAGTTAGCTAGTAGGTTTTTGATATATAGTATAACATACCCGGTGATTTTACCTCCGGTTAAAATTAGCAATACTCTTATTTAGAGCTCCCGATTACTATAAAGTCGACGACATGTGAATAATTAGTAGAACCAATCAGAAGTGGAAAAGTGTGAGAAATTAGTAAACCCAAGTATCAGTGTCTAAAATTCAGCATCGGCGGATCGCACTTTACATATATGTCTTGGTGCGACGCAACGCAAAGTAAAATAGCTCAAATATATAGAAACTCTACTCTTTGCATAATTATAACAGCAAAATAACGATAACTATATTCAAATTACCTGATTGTACAGCATAATCTAACTTACGTATTAGTTTTAACTAACGCATTAACTAATCTGCATAATAAATATAGCGTACGTATGTACGTACGTACGTACGTACGTACGTATCTGATTCAACTGCACACCAGGTGTGGATTTTAGACATAAAATGCGTAGTAAATTTATCTTATTTGAAGTACCTAGTGCGGTATTTGTGCAAAACGCAATATTGCATAATATCAACATAAAAAGCCGATTTAATATGTAACTTTTTTATCTGAAAATTATTTAAACAATTACTTTTTATATCGCATAAAAATGCGGTTTAACTCTATGTGGGATTAAGTTTGTATCAGGTACGTTTCCTCCTGTTGTTATTGTCTAGAACAAAAAAGGGATTTTGATTATTTTTAAATGAAGTCTTATAACCCTAATAAAACTATCTACATACTTTTTCTAAAAAGTACTTTAAGCTGTATAAATACAGTCGTCCCTCATTTATATCAACCTATTTGGATTACTTTTATATTCATGTTGATAGTGATATTGATAATATATAAAATACTCCATTATCTTGTTTTAAATTTAATGTGCCGGCTTCTGGGCCCCGCAGGGGTCCAGAAATGGTACGTACGTACGTACGTACGTTAAATTTAAAGCAGATAAGTAAATTATTGACTGCGTAGCATACAATAACGGTATTATCCAGTGGTTTACAACTATTGTGCTTGCTAAATTTGTTAGTGATTACGTAAGCTGCCAAATAACGAAGTTTTTGCAGATGACGTAATCACAGCCAAAATAACGAGTTATTTTGGCAGCACACTATAATACGGATAAGGGAACATCTTAAAGTTGATATATATGAGGGATTTTTTTAATATAATTTTAATATAAAGAAATTCATTTTATAGCTTAGGTTGATATTATATTAATGAGGGGCGGCTGTAATATAAAATTAAACAGCTAATCATAAGTCTTTCAATAACACACCAAAATGAATTAATTACGTAATTATTACTGTTGATGGCTAAGTATATAAAGGTTTGATTTTTTTTTTTCATTCACATTTTTGGTACGTATGTAGTATCCTTAAGAGTTTTTTAAGAAAATGGTTAAACCGCGTGTTGCTATTATCGGAGCCGGTATGCTAAAGTAATTTACATAGCAGTATGATTTAAAATAATTCCGATTAACAACTTTTAAAACAAATATCAAGGTTCATCAGGTTTAGCAGCCCTAAAACAATGCCTCGATGATGATTTGGATCCAATATGTTTCGAACAAACATCTTACGTAGGAGGTCTTTGGAATTTTGTTGAAGTTGATGACGAAAATAAGGATCCACATCCATCAGCTTATAAAAGCCTAATTATCAATACTTCTAAAGAAACGGTGTGTAACTTTATGGATTTATTATACATTTATTGATATAGTTGAATAATTTTTCGGGTTTATCGTAAATAGATGACATTTTCGGATTTTCCAATCCCTGCGGATTGGCCACCTTATTTACATAACATACTTGTCACCAAGTACTTTTTATTTTGTTTATTTATTTATTTTTTTTGTTTTCTTCCACATTCTGCAAATAAAATTACTTTCTATATTTACCTTCCATTGAAAAAGGTACTTTAACATGTACGCCGACAAATTTAAACTTAGGCCACACATCAAATTTTGTACAACTGTTGTTCGTACATCATACCTTCCTGATCATCGCTGGAAAGTTAAATATGTTACTTCTGTAAATAAAGATCAAACTAGTGAACATGAAGAAATATTCGACTTTGTTATGGTTTGTAATGGGCACCATAGGAAACATAGGTGGCCAAAATATAAAGGGATGGACGAATTTAAGGGTGAACAAACTCATTCGCATTTTTACAGACGGTAAATAAAAAGCGAATAAACAAAGATATAAAATATAATATCTTCAATAATAGTACAGTCAACCCTCCATAAATGCATATCATCGGGACCAAACTTTTGAGGGCTTGCATTTAGAGAACAATAATAAAAAATGCATTTATGGGAGTTTAGCATATATTTGGCCAGAAAATTAATATGCATTTAAGGAGGTCATGCACTTAGGGGGATGCATTTAGGGGGGCCGACTGTATTATTATCGATACCCATTCATTTTCTTAATTTTAAGTGAAATAACTTTATATACAGAAATGTCATCGATCGCACTATCCCAAATAATGATTTATTTATTTTTTTAAAAAAAAAACTTCATTAGAGCTGCGCGTTTCGAAAATAAGCGTGTTGTTGTAGTCGGAATTGGTAACAGGTATATTATTAATTTTTGGATATATATATAGTTTCATCTGAGTTAAATCATGCATTCAGCTTTTGTAACTTTTTTTTTATAGTGGAATTGATATTGCCGTCGAATTATCTCACGTCGCATCACAAGTGTATTTGTGTCTTCGTAGAGGTAACAAAATAATACTATTCTAATCATTCGTGGCGTTCTCTTCTCGGTCGTTATTAATCAATTCGGTATTCAATAGAAAAACTCCCATGGATTTTACCACGCCTGATAAATGGAAAACCAGTCGACCAATTAACAACTCGGTTTTCTACTTATTTCCTTCCAAAATCCCCTTCACTTTTTGAAAAACCTATCCGCCAGACCGTAGGTCCCCATCCGCCGTCTCTCGAACCAACCACTCCAGTCTTTTCTTCACATCCAACCGTAAAATCAGATTTTTTCGAACGCCTTAGTACCGGAACTATTATTATAAAAAAAAATATTTTAGAATTAATGCCTGACGAAACAAAGTCAATTAAATTTGTTGATGGTTTTATTGTGGAAAATATTGATACAGTAATTTATGCGACTGGGTATCATATAGATTTTCCCTTTTTAGATAGAGAAATTGTTAATGGTGGTCCAGAAATTGAACAAGAATTTGAAGATGAATATAAAGAAAATTTAGCATGGATGTATAAGATGATGTTTCCGCCAAATTATCGTAATATCGCGTTTATTGGTTTGATCCAGCCAATTGGTGCTATTTTTCCCATTGCGTACGTAATTGTTATTATTTTAAAAACATTGCAATAGTATCACATCATGCCAAACTCTATTTAACTCTATTTTTTTTTTTTTATGAAAAGCGAAATGCAAGCTCGTTATGCGACAAGTTTGATCAAAGGTTTCATTAATCCACTTCCATCACCTCAGGAAATGAATATTGCGATTAGAAATTATCAGGAAAAAATCAGAAAGCAATACTACTCATCAGCAAGACATACAATCCAAGTTGATTTTCTTGAATACCTTGATGAATTGAGTCAAGAATTAGGTTGTTACCCTTCTTCTTTAGAGATATTAAAAAAATTTGGTTTTAATATATTGAAACTCGTCTTATTTGGAATCAAATCCCCTATTCAGGTAAATTTGTTATTAGAGATTGTTGACTTTGTGAATATGTTGATACTAAAGCTAAATATTTATTTAGTATCGATTACTTGGAAGACAACGCTGGGAGGGTGCTAAAGATGCACTTATGATTTATAATAAAGTAAATCTAAATTCAACCAAGTTGTTAGAATAATATTAACCATTAAAATCATGATGATAATATTCTACTTATCGTAAATCAATATTTTTTTTTTGAAAACTAAAGTATACAAAACTACTGTAAAATACTGGGGGCTCCGATAAATTAAGAAATTTCCGTTACTTGTCATTTTCAAGGCAAAGACTCCATATACTTAAATTTCTGATTCAAAGTCTTCCCTTGGTAGTACTCATATGTAAAATAATAAAGGTACTACGTATTATCACTAATTGCTTGTTAATCTCCGGCTATAGATTCAAAATTCCTTTAATAATAGAAAGATCGTCGAAAAAAAAAATCAGGACGCGTAACCTCCATAGCATCACTAACCTAAACAATTTCTCTATCTGGTCAAATTGATTTTATTTTGTATATATGTTACGAGTCATGTTGGTTTTGGGTTAAGTTAAACTTGACCCGGTCAAATTAATCGAACTTGGATCATCATAATTAAATTAATTTGACTTGGTCAAATTAATAAATAATATTAATTAGTTACTAACGATAATATTAAACTATGTCGTGTAACGAATGATTTTTGCAACAAAATTGCTTTAATTGCTTTACAATTTTATTTTTATTTTCTTTTTACAAAATGATGGAGTCTTCTAATACAAGTACACTTCATGGGTAATTTTATGTCAAAAGAAACGTTTAATAAAGTACTGAAATGCCTGAATTTATTCATAAATATCAAAATGCTACAGTAATTAATCGTGAACATGCAGAGAAATGTATTGAAAATTTAGAAAATCCTAATAACCATCATGAACTAAAAAATTCAAACTTATACAAATAGACTCAAAAATATGTCTGATTAATGCAAATTTGAACGAAAAAAAAAGAAATAACAAAAAAAATAAAAATACAAATCAAAGAAGGTTGTTTACAAGCTTGGTTGTGCTAATGATATCTTAGATACTTGTTTTCGTGTATGAGATATACCGTATAAGCGCGAAATAGCGCCCAGAGGTGTAATTTCGAATTTCGGCCCGAATTAAGTTAATTTAGGCCGAAATTTGAAATTACACCCCTGGACATTATTTAAGACCCTAGCGTCGCCAACTTAAATAATTCCGCAGTTACATTAGGGTTAGGTTTTGCTATTAAGTTAGGTTAAAAAGAGCTTTGATTTTTTGGGGTGGTGACACTAGGGGGTTGACGCTATCTCACGCTTATACGGTAGGTCCGTTAGAATCATTTAACTATTCTGAATTGACCAAAATACCACCCATCCAGTTTCTTCACATACAGCCGCCATTAAATAAAGTGGTGCATTTGAGTAAATCATTGTAAAGGAAATTGTCTTTCTAAATGTTGTGCTTGTAGTAAAAATAAAATGTAATATATGAGTAGTACCGTATAGCTTATAGTAGCCCCATAATATAATACCCCCCATGATTAAGACCCGGGTATTATTAACTGCCTTATCGGTCTATTTCTTGAATAAGACCCGGGGTATAACTATATTAAATTATGACTTTTCATATGAATATCCCCTAAATATAGTACCCGGTTCTATACAAAGTACCCACGGGTACTAATCAATTTCAAAAGTCAAAGTTTTGAATAAGACCCCGGGTACTATAAGCAGTGCCATACGGTGGCAACTAGGGATGGGTTCGGTCGGTTACGGTCGGTTATCGGTCGGCTATTATCGACTATCGACTAAGAGTCGACTATAGTTGACTATAGCCGGTTATTTAAAAACATAAACAGATCGACACGGATCATCCCGAAAATACGGAAGATCCCGAAACATGATATTTAAAAACATTCCAGGGAGACCGTCCCAAATTAGGAAATTGTTATCTGAGTCACCCGACCGGTCACACAATTGATAAACAAATTTTTTTTTATATGTTTTACTATAAATTTTTGTCATGTGAAAAAATAAAAATCACGAATTTTTATAAATAAAAAAAATCGAAATTAAGAGAAATTTAAAGAAATTTAGTCAAAATTTATA